GAAATAAAAAAAAAAAAAAGAAAAAAATATAAATTATTTTTTATTTATTTATTGTCTACAACTTTCAGCAGGTGGCAAGGAAAAAGAAATTTTTGTCAATATTTTTTGGACAGAAAAAAAAAAAATCAGAATATTGATCTATTTCTGACGGGAAAAAAATGTACATACATATTTCACACCTACTCTTATTTATTTCATGTCTCAAGATATTTGGCAATAAACAATAAATTATCAATATAAAGAAAGTAATAATAATTACAATAAAGAAACAGAAAATTTTTAAACAAGTCTCAGAAGAAATTTTCATGCATTTTTTGCAGAAAAGAAATATACAATAATAAAAAATATTTGTATTTATTTAATGTCTCAAGAAAAAAAAATAAAATAATATTTCCCAAATGTTAAAGATATACTTATTTATTCAGTCTCAGAATTAGTGGCAAAACCATTAATTTATCAATATCGGAAATATATAAATCAGACGTTAACGGAAGTTAAATAAATTCAAAAGAGACAAATCGTAGCGCGCTATATATATAGCTGGATATATATCTATATCTATATACTTCATGAATGCATATAATATATGGAAATGTTTCAGCTTTTACGGAAGACTCGTCTTATCTGATCTGATCTTCTAGAATCTGTTTTTAATCTTCTATAACAAAGGAAATTTCTCTTGTTTCGTCAACTGCCGACGGCTTTTAATCAAATTGAATTTTATTGCCACCGACGGCTTTTAAGTTGACTGAAACATGTTTGCGTTTATATTATTTTGAAATAAATGTACACTTTATAGTGTAAAACAAAAATGAGATAACAATCAGGAAGCACAATTTTCTAGTCTTAAGATAGATGATTACAATGAGAGGGGATTTAATTTAAATTAGCAAATCCTAATTAAAGAAATTTGTAGATTTCTTATCAATTTAGACAAATTGAAGTTTACAAAATATTTGCAATTATCATGCTCTGAATCCAATTAGTAATCGAAGAAAATTGTCTTAATATATATTTATATCTTGATTTTTTAAAATGTAGACAAACATAAAGATAATAAGATGAAGTTAGAGAGCGAGACAAATGGAATAATATATAGAGATATAAACAGATAGAATATCTGCTAAACGTTCAGACAGTTTAATAGGAGATATAAATACAAAATATTATCATATATTCATATTATACATATGGTATATTTATATTATATATTGTATATTTTTTGTTAATCATAAGCGAATTAAAACTTTCTCTTTTTCCTTTACATAATTTAAAGAAATTCTTAACAGAAATATTCAATTAATTCAACGCAAATTTATAATTTAATGTAAACCCTTTGTATATAATATCAACTGTTAGTTTTGCATATTCCTACAAAAGTTTTTTTTGCCAAAAGTTTTCCACTTGCCCTTGCTAACAGGAAAATCGCTCGCAGCAAAGTTGCCAAGTTAACCAAAAAAAGAAAAATTTGTGGAAAATTCAATTATGCAAAAATACAGAGAAACATTTTGAGCTTGGAAAACTTGGCTCCCTGGTTGATAATGTCAAAAAATTAGGTGCTAACAAAACAATTTGCATGTTTAAGCTGATTTTTCTCTTCTGCTCCAGCTTCTTCTTCTTCTTCRTCTTCATCTGTAAACTTATGGAAAATTGCGCGCGCTGGCAATTCAAAGGGGGCTCATCATAAGCGCCGTTCGGGCGGCGCCAGAGCCTCAGGACTCCCTACAACAGCCAAGACGACTTTTAATTAAACTTTTGCACTTATGCAGCTGCAATCAGCAGTGCAGCGGCAGCAGCAGCAGCAGCAGGAGCCGAAGCTGCAGCAGGAGACGAGCGTCCTGCGTCCTATGAGTTCAATTCAGTTTGATTGGCAAACATTTTTGTTAATAAAAAGTTCGCAGCGCGCGAGCAGAAAAAATCAAAAATTTCACTTTGGCCAAAAACAAAAACTAATTAACGTTCAACAGATAAAGTGTTTGGAGGGCAGCGGCGGGGTGGGTGTGGCATATGAAAAATAATTGAGACAAGTTTATATGATTATGTTTTTGCTACTGCTGCTGCTGCTCGTCGAGCCACACGCAATAAAAACTTTTGCCATGTCGAGCGATTTGTAAGTCAGAAAGCTGTAAAAATCACAGACAGAAAAACAGTTAACACAAATGTTAGCCAAGAAAAGCGAGAACTTCTTCTGAGCGGCTAATTAGTTGGCAAAGCGTTTCTAATTTGGCTGCCAACTTGAGTGAACTTCCATCGAAGGAAATTCTCTGAGCGTTTTCAGCACAAATAAAATCTTACCCAACCCTTCGGATTTCTGGGTTCAAAATCTGAGAATTCTTTTAAATTCACATGATTCTCTCGCATTTTGGCCATTTTTGATGATAGCCGAAAAGAATTATAGGTTTTAGGTAGCTCAAAATTCGTACAAATGAGAGAAACAAAACTGAAAACATTTGTGAGACCCAAAACAAACGAAGGTCATATGAAATTCCTACAGGATAGAAGCGAATAAACAAATGAATAGAAATGTACATATAATATACATATAAATTAAAATAAAGAAACTGGGTGTACTATTCATAATAAATAAACTAGTCAAAAAAATAAAA